ATAAATTCCTAGACCTACAAATTACAAAAGCTGAAACAGGAAGAAATAGGAAACTTCAACAGACCAACTACCAGCAAAGAAACTAAATCAATCATCAAAAATCTCCCAACAAACAAAAGTCCAGGACCAGATGGATTCATAGGTGAACTCTAGCAAACTTTTGAAGAAGAGTTATTATGCATTCTTCTCTAACTATTCCAAAAATAAAATCTTCCAAATTCATTCAATGAGGCCCTGATACCAAAACCAGTAGACACTACCAATGAAAGAGGCCAAGATCCCTGATGAACATGGATGCAAAAATTCATGATAAAAACCCTCAACAAAGCAAGTTTAGAGGGAACATACCTCAACATCATAAAGGCTATCTATAAAAAAAAATTTTTAAAAACCACAGCTAATAACATCCTCAAAGGTGAAAACTGACAGTTTTTCCTCTATGGTCAGGAACAGGAAAGGGATGTCCACTTCTGCCACTTATATTCAACTTAAGTACTGGAAGTCCTAGCCACAGCAGACAGACAACAAAAAGATATAAAAGGCATCTTAATTGGCAAGGAAGAAGTCAAACTTTCACTATTTGCAGATGTCATGATATTATATATAGAAAACTTAAAAAAACCACCAAAAAGACTGCTAGAACTGATAAATGAATTCAGTAAAGTTGCAGGATACAAAATCAATTTAGAAAAATCTACATTTCTATATACCAATAATGAATCAGCAGAAAGAGAAATTAAAGAATCAATCCCATTTACAATTGTACCAAAAATGATTAAGACTCCTAGAAATAAACCTAACCAAAAAGGCAAAAGATCTATACTCTGAAAAACATAAAACATGGATGAAAAATTGAAGGAAACACAAAGAAATGGAAAGACATTCTATGTTCATGGCTCAGAAGAACAAATTATTTTTTAATGTTTACTTAATTTTTTGAGAGAGAAACAGAATGTGAGCAGGGGAGGGGCAGAGAGAGAGGGAGACACAGAATCCAAAGCAGCTCCAGGCTCTGAGCTGTCAGCACAGAGCCCAATGCAGGACTCGAACTCACGAACTAGGAGATCATCACCTCAGCCAAGGTTGGAAGCTTAACCAACTGAGCCATCCAGGTGGCCTAGAACAAATATATTGTTAAAATGTCTATATTACCCAAAGCAGTCTAAACATTTAATGCAATCCCTATCTAAACACCAACAGCATTTTTCACAGAGCTAGAGAAACAATCTTAAAATTTGTATGGAACCCCAAAAGACCCTGAATAGCCAAAGCAGCCTTGAAAAAGAAAAGCCAAAGCTAGAGGCATCACAATTCCAGACTTCAAGTTATATGACAAAGCTGCAGTAATCAAAACAATATGGTACTGGCAGAAAAACAGACATACCGATCGATGGAAAACCCAGAAATGAGCCCACAATTATATGGTCAAGTAATCTTCCACAAAGCAGGAAAGAATATCCAATGGGAAAAAAGAAAGTCTCTTCAACAATGGTGATGGGAAAACTGGAGAGCAACATGCAAAAGAATGAAATTGGACTACTTTCTTATGCTATACACAAAAATAAATTCAAAATGGATTAAAGACCTTAACAGCGAGACCTGAAACCATAAAAATCCTAGAAGAGAAAACAGACAGTAACTTCTTTGACATTTGCCGTAGCAACTTCTTTCTAGATACGTTTCCTAAGGCAAAGGAAACAAAAGCAAAACTAAACTAATGGGACTACATCAAAATAAAAAAAGCTTCTGCACAGCAAAAGGAACAATCAACAAAACTAAAAGGCAACCTATGAAATGGGAGAGATATTTACAAATTACATATCTGATTAAGGGTTATTATCCAACATATAAAGAACTGACAAAACTCAACACCAAAAAAAATGAATAATCCAATTAAAAAAATGGGCAGAAGACATGAACATTTTCCCAAAGAAGCCGGAGAGATGTCCAACGGACATTATGAAAAGACATTCAATATCACTTATCATCAGGGAAATGCAAATCAAAACTACAAAGATATCACCTCCCATCTGTCAAAATGACTAAAATACACAACAGAAGACACAATAGGGGTTAGTAAGGAGGTAATGAAAGGGGAACCCTCTTGCACTCCTGGTGAGAATGCAAACTGATGCAACTAGTCTGGAAAATACTTATGGAGCTTCCTCAAAAAGTTAAAAATAGAACTACCCTAAGATCCAGCAATCATACTACTTGGTATTTACCTAAAGAATACAAAAATACTAATTCAAAGGGACAGCAACATGCAAAAGAATGTTGGCAACCCTGTGTTCACAGCAACCTTATTTACAATAGCCAAGATATGGAAGCAGCCCAAATGTCCATCAACTGATAAATGAATAAAGAAAATGTGGCATTTATATACAATGGCATATTACTCACCCATAAAAAAGAATGACATGGATGGAGCTGGAGAGTATTATGTTAAGCAAAATAGGTCAGTCAGGAAAAAAACAAATATGATTTTACTCATTTGTGGAATTTAAGAAACAAAATAAATGAGCAATATAAAAAAAAGAGAGAGGGAGAGAAAGAGAGGGGCAAACCACGAAACAGACTCTTAACTATAGAGAACTGATGGTTATCAGAGGAGAGGTCAGTGGAGGGAATGGGTGAAACAGGTGATGGGGATTAAAGAGAGAATGTGTTGTGACAAGCACTGGGTAATATATGGAAGTGTGAATCACTACAATGTACACTGTATACTTGAAACAAATATTACACTGCATGTTAACTAGCTGGAATTTAAATAAAAAATTTAAAAAACAAAAAAAGAAAAAAATTATACCTTGGCAAAAGGTAAGCCGTGACACTATAAGACTAGTAATGAACATTAAATTCACTTAAACACAAAAGTAAAGGCTACACAATATGAATTATAATTATAGAAAAATGTCTTTCCCCCTTGAAAAGCAACACGGTAAATCCATTAAGTATTATGGATTCAATAAGACAACAAAGCTTACCAACAAAAATCAAAATGGGAGAGATTATAAATAAACTATTTTTCATAAAAAGTAGTCAACAGATGCAGACTTTTAAATTTGTTAAATCGGGGTGTCTGGGTGGCTCAGTCTGGTTAAGCGTCCAGCTTCAGCTCAGGTCATGATCTCATGATCCGTGAGTTCAAGCCCCGCATCAGGTTCAGTGCTGACAGCTCAGAACCTAGAACCTGTTTCAGATTCTGTGTCTCCCTCTCTCTCTGACTCGCCCCTGCTCACACTCTGCCTCTGTCTCTCTCAAAATAAATAAACATTAAGAAATATATATTTTCTAAATTAAAAAAATAAAAACATAAATTTAAGTCAAAAACACTAAATTGAAAAGATATATGCACTCCTATGTTTGCTGCAGCATTACTGATAATAGCCTAATTATGGAAGCAGCCCTAGTGTCCTAACAATAGATGAATGGATAAAGAAGGTGTGGTGTATACATACATGCAATGGAATATTACTCAGCCATTAAAAAAATTGAAATCTTGCCATTTTCAATAACATGGATGGAACTAGAGGATATATTGCTAATAGATGAAAAAAAATCAAAGAAAGACAAATACCATATGACTTCACTCATGTGCGGAATTTAAGAAACAGAACAAAAAAACAAACCAAAAAACAGACTTTTTTTTTTTAACTATTTCTGAGAGAGAGAGAGACAGCATGAACAGGGGAGGGTCAGAGAGAGAGGGAGACACAGAATCTGAAACTGAGCTGTCAGCACAGAGCCCGACAGGGGGCTCGAACCCACGAACTGTGAGATCATGACCTGAGCTGAAGTCGGCCGCCCAACCAACTAAGCCACCCAGGCACCCCAAAAAAACAGACTCTTAACTGTAGAAAACAAATTGATAGTTACCTGAGGGGAAGTGCACAGGGGAATGGTGAAATAGGTAAAGAGGATTAGGAATACACTTATCACAATGAGCACTGACTCAGTACATAATGACTATATGGTATACTATATGCTAACTATACTGGAATTAAAAAAAAAAAAAAAAAAAAAACCTAAGAAACAACAGAAAAACTATTTTAAAAGTGAGTATGTCAAGAGAAAAAGTGAGGCTATATGTGTGTGTGTGCGCGTGTGAGCACACATGCGCATAATAATTTAAATAAATCAGCATCCATTAACAAGATATAGTCAACAGATATTTAGAGTGATCAAATATTTATGTTTACATACAGAAAGCAAATGAAAACCAAACTAATATACTGTTCAAAAACAGGACATGGTCTTGTGTACAACAAAGAAAAGCTGAAGGGGGCCTGGCTGGTTCAGTTGGTTAAGTGTCCAACACTTGATATCTGTTGAGGTCATGGTATCATGGTCATGCGATCAAGCCCTGCATCGCGCTCCAAGCTGAGCATGGAGCCTGTTTGGTGCGCGCACTCGCGAACGTTCTCTCTCTCTCTCTCTGCCTCTCCCATACTCATGTGTACTCAATAAATGAATAAATAAGAAGTCAATGTGAGATTTAGTAAAGAGAGTTTTATTCCCTGGCTACTGTTAGAGGTTAAAAATAAACTGGAACAAGATCAACCCCTCACTGGAGATGAACAATAAATATCAGTGTCTACTATAAATGTTATTTCAAAAGCACCCCTTACTTAAGCTAAAAAAAAAAAAGGGGGGGGGAGGGGAATAATTATTGATACTTTTCTTACTTACTTACTCCAGAGTTAGCCTCTACAATAATGAGGAACCTACAAGGAACCTACAAAGCAACCTATAAGGCACTTTTCAGAAACAATAGCATCAAAAATACTATGGACACTAAGCGCATTTACTTTAAAAACTGAATATGCAGGGCACTTTTAACAATCTACCTACTACAACAACATTTTCATTTACTAACCATAAAAATATAAACAGTGGAACGGGAAAGAAACTTTGACAGCATTTAGGTATAACTTAGTGGCAGGAATGGGGATGTATGCTAGGTGTAGAAAACTAAACTCAGAACACCTGCACCTTACCTTCTTCTGAAGAACATTAACCTTCCGTTCCTTCACATCCAGCATGTCCTTGAGGTCATGTATCTCTCCAGCTTGTGTCCCCTTCTCCTCAGCCATATCCTGAATTTGTTTTGTCTTCTTATTCAGCATCGTTTCCTTCTCTTCCAAACGCAATCGGAGAGCATCCACCTAAGAATGGGACATTTTTACAAATGATTAAACGAAAAGAAAGAGATGTGTACAATTGCCCAAATGATACTTACATAGTAAGTGTTCATTAGAATCAAATAAAATACCACTCTAAATATAATTATTGCTATTTAGAAATTAAGCCATATACCTTATGAACACTTTTGTGATAAAAATAAAATTTACATTAGTTAAATATATGATGTATCAGGAAAAATAGATCTGAATCAAGGGACAAAATGGAGAATTGTTATAAAGAGACTACGTTTTCCACTTCTAATAAAGTAATATAATCTACAACTATGCTTCTCAAACTTTAGGTGCATTACAATCATTTGGAGGACTTAAACAGTTTGCCAGGCCCCACCACCAGAGTGTCTGCTTCAATGGGTTTAAGGGCTCAAGAATTAGTTTTTCCAACAAGTTCCCAAATGATTCCACCCTGCTTTAGAAAAATCTAAAATTAGAAAGAAAACCTAAGTATCAGTGACCAAGGACCAAGCATGACACTTGCTGTATCACATAATACAAACGAATGGTAGAATATGATGCTTGTTAGACAGACAACCCCATAATGCACTGAGACAGCTGTACAAAGGAAAGCAAAGGTCTGTTTTCAGCTGAAAATAGTCAGCTGAAGTCGGGCATCCAGTTACCTTTATCCCCCCAAGTTTAACACCTCTCACTAAATTTTCAATTAACTAGAAACCTACTGATAGTACATATTTTTATGTATTGTTTAGCCTAATATATCTACAGTACTGTCTTTTGAAACATGCAATCCATATTAAGAACTATTATTGAGCTATTTTACTTTATATTCTTTGTTTCATACTAAGTCTTAAAAGTCCAATGTATATTATAATTTTTACATTGACATCATATCTCAATTTAGACTACCATATTTCAATTCTCAATGGCCACATATGGCTGGTGGCTACCAGAGTGAAAGTGCAAATCTAAAATATCAAGTATATTTCTATAAAACATCTTCTTCACTTGCATTCTCCCTGTGGAAAACTTCACTCTTCCCTGGCAACCTGGCAACCTGGGAAACTGGGACTCAGAAAAGATAGCTATAAAGAAGCAATAGAGCAGGAATTTAAGATTATCGGTCTGTTTCCAGATCCTCTGATCTTAACCACTAATTCTGTAATACACTACCCCACTAACAGCTAGATAAAAAGAATATATATGATTTTATTTATGTAAAATTCTAGAAAGTGTATACTAATTACAGTAATAGAATAAAACAGTAATAGATCAGGGCTGCCTGGGAAGAGGGAGAAAAGGGAGTAGTGAAAAGTACCAGGGAAAAGCAAAAGAAAGGGATTACAAAGAGGTACAAGAAAATCTGTGGGATATGTTCATTATCTAGACTGTGGTAATGGTTTCACAGCTGTGTGCATCAAAACTCACCAGATTGTACATTTTAAATATATGCAGTTCATTCAATAAATTTTATTTTTTAAAAAGCAAAAGAAGAAAGCATATTATTGGTTAAGAAATAAATCAACAGACCTTTGCAAGAGATATGGGAGCCCAGCTCACAGGCCCAAACATACAGGAACCCATATGTATAAAAAAAAAAAAAAAAAGAAAGAAAAAGAAAAACCAGAGGTGACACTGTAATCAGTGAGAAAAGGACAGAGTTTTCAATAAACTGTCTTTAAACAACTGGCTACCCATACTGATGAAGGGGGTAAGATCTCTAACTCATACACAGAAATGGATTCAGGATGAATTAAAGATTGGATATTTGAGAAGCAAATCTTTAAAACTTTTAGAAGGAAATAGAGGAAAATACTTTTAAGACACTGAGGCACATAAGGATTCATTTTTTAAAGACATAGAATAAATCAAAATGAAAAAATACTGTGTTGAATTTTGAAAAAATCAACTGTGTTGAAATTTAAAACTTCTGCACATCATACTATTTTAAAGTGTTTTATTATTTTATCTATATTTTATGTGCCTGAAATATTTCTTAATTACAATAATACAATTCTAAAGAAAATACAGGAATACTTATCGTTGCTTTAAAAAAATGTAGGTATTTTATAAACTGCCAAAATTAAATATGATCCAATATTGAATTTCAATTTTCAAAAATTTATGACCACTTACCATCACTCAAAAAAAATTTAAATACCTAGGTATAAACCTAACAAAACTTGTAAAGGATCTATATGCCAAAAATTACAAATAAAAGAAATCAAAGAAGACCTAACGGTGTTCTTCCCCTGAATACTTTATGAAATGTAAACTTAACATGTGTTAAGATAGCCAGCCTACTTAAAGTTTTCCTCAGAGACATGGAAAATGGAAAGATTAAAGTGATTTTTAAAAAAAAAGTTTTACTGACAAACAGCAGAACTACAATAAATAAAACCCAGTGAATCTAAGAAATATTACAACTAAAAATGTCCAGTTGTGGTTCCTGAATCCAGCGCTAAAGACCTCAGAGGAAGATTTAAAATTCAATACAAAAAAGATGAATTACATAATTTCCCCAACAGTCCTTCCTTAAGTGCAAGATGACAACAGTCTTTACATTTCCTTGGTTTCCCATCACCAGCCTATTAAAATCAGAAACACTCTACCATGCAAAGAAACAAAAAGGTCCACAAGACCAATGTCAGAACTGAGTATCGAATCAATTTGGAGAAAAGGACTGCCACCACAGAGCAAAGACCTTTGTGGAATATGAAATTCACCAACAGGCTGCTTAAGATGCCAAAAGAGCCCACTGACCCTTATCCACTAGGCATTCGGGCACAGCTCAAGGTGGCCTGTGTGGCTACTAATCCTATTTGACAGTATCAGATTTGGTTCCTATTAGCTGAATCCATTACAGGGCATCAGTCACGGTGATTCAAGAGGGTGCTTATTGAAACCACTATACTTCTGCATAGTTAAGTGCAAAGGTTTAAGGTCAAAGCCTTAAAAAAGTATATATGTCAGAAGATTTTAAAATAAATCATATACTAAATCATTTGCATCTAACTTCTACATTCTCATTTGTATTTTGTATACTGTATATTCTACTTCTTTTTTAAAAATATTTATCTATTTATTTATTTATTTATTGAGAGAGAGAGAGAGAGAGAGAGAGAGAGAGAGCGAGCAAGCAGGAGAGGATCAGAGAGAGATGGAGACAGAGAATTGCAAGTAGGCTCCGCGCAGTTACTATAGAGTCCAATGCAGGGCTCAAACTCATGAACCATGAGAACATGACCTGGGCAAAAGAAGTGGGACACTTAACCGACTGAGCCACCCATGTGCTCCGGAATATTCTACTTCAAACACACATACTACATATCTCAATAACCACAGGCAAAAACAAAGCAACTTCCTAAAAGACATTTCACTCAATATCCCTGAAATATATTACTGAATTCTTATCATAAAGGCAAAAAGCGCAGACATTTAAATTTGGAGATAAGTCTTAACTGCCTAACTTCCTTGTCTCTCAGTTCTTCTCAGCATTAATTTCAGAAAAATGAAACGTTTTCCATCTGTAGGTAAGAATCAGAATACAGCAGAAATACATCCGTGAGCATTTCTAAATGTTTCTCATTCTGATGGTACCAAAGTCGCAGACGACAATAACTATAAGACCTCATATTTCTGCTTCTTTATCAAACGTACCTAGTTATCCTAGCTGCATTTGTACATGAGATCCCTCACTCAGTTAAGTAACCTTGGAAATGTGCTAGTGCTAACCAGTCATAGATACCTGCATGCCATTTTGAGGGAATGTCAGGTATGAGACCCACAGGTATTGGTGACTGAAAAAAAGTAAAAAAATGAAAACTCTGGTAAAAAACATACAAACCTTCAGTGTAAGAGTAGTTGGAAATGCAGGCTTTGATGTAAAATAGATCTCACATAACAAATATTAGGTACAGAAATTAGTCCAGTACATACTCTAATTACTAAATGACCTTGTGTTTACTAAGTATTCAATTTGAATCATTTACTGTATACACTTTTTCTTGGTCTACTTTTTTTGTGCAATGAAGAATTTAAATATGCTGGTCTGGTGATCTAAGATAAAAATAACCACAAAATCCACTCTGCTACTACTAGATTAATTGCTCTGAATTCTACACTGATCTTTCTGGTTTGGAGTGAGCTAAGTTCATAGTATAATTTTGTGTGAGGTCCACATTTTGCAAACCACAAAAAACACATTCAGGAAAGCCCCTCAGAGACGAGCTGGACACATAGTCATCACCCCAATACCATTCCTGGCAGGAGGAATAAGACTTTGTTTATTCACATCAACTGCACTGGAGGAACAGCATCCACCTAGCTTGCCAAGCTTCAAGGTCTATGGCAAACAGGTTTGCCAACTTCAGAAAAACAGAAGGTTTTTCTCTACAAGATTTTCTCTACCAATGGACATGAACAGAAAAATGGCTACCTGGCTCTTTTGGCCTCTCACTTCTGATCACGAAACTGTTGTCTTAAGCTATCTTATTTTACATCAATAAATACATGAATGTAAATACACACTAGCAGTAGTAATTGCATGGATAATATGACTTATTTCCTATCTTGGCTTTGCCATGATTCACTCTTTTCTAACTCTCTGACCATAACTTTTCAATTTTCTTCACTGGATCCTCTGTCATATTCCCCTCCTCACGTCTCACTTTAAACAACTTCCTCTGGAGAAACCAATTCAATCCTAGGCTTTAACCACCACATCAATTATGACAGCTTCCAAATCTTTATTCCTAACCTCAACCAGTTCTAAAACCCTGAGATTCTAAAAAAATATTCTACTTAACCCAGATCTTCCACTGAACATTTAGATTAGAATGAGATTTGGGAGTCCCTGAGTGGTTCAGTTGGTTGAACTTCCAACACTTGATTATGGTTCAGGTCATGATCCCAGGGACAGGAGATCAAGCCCAAGTTGGCTCTGTGCTGAATGTGGAGCCTGCTTGGGATTCTCTCTCCCTCTCCCTCTCCCCCTCCCCCCTCCCCTT